TTCAATGGCGGGAACAAGTTGGGCAGAGGTGATTGGCTAGTACAAGAAGGGAGTTTGTTTGAATTGATTGGTTTAGGCCACAAGGGGTGTACCTGCTAAACTACATGGTTTCCCAACATGTTATCAACCACCATAAACTACTTGAGGGTCATCTGGCATTCCAGGTATTTTCCCTGTCTTACCCTGATTAGAGGTTGCTAGGGGGGTTGCCATGGGACCTCACCTAGCCTAACTGAGTCAGGGGACACCTAGTGCCTCAGACCTCTCCTGTTGTTTACAGACAAACAACTCAGCAGGGTGGGTATGTACTTAGGAGTGCTCTGTGGGTTTTTCCAAGGACAAGGGTCACGCCCCCTTCCTTAGGACAGGCCTTGAGGTAGAAGCTGCTGTTATTATTTATTTTTTAAAATGGAGTCACATTAGTTTCTCAACTGTTCCTTGTATTTCAGCATATTTTCTTATTTAACATGAAGTTAAGTAAAAGTTACTACAAGCAGATGACTTTTTGCTAAATAAAAAGTATTTGTTAGGGAGTGGCTCAGTGGTAAAGCACTTATCTAGAACAATAATTAAAATAATTTTAAAACTAAAATTAACATTTTTTAAAGCAACTAAAAGGCCTTCTGCCTCATTCTAATGTAGTTTTTCTAGCTGGTAAAACAGGTAACCCAATATTATGATTTCTGGACATTAGTTCCAACTCTAAGAATGCTGTTAAAAAAACAACCAAATGCACTGAAGACTGAGCCCCAAATTGTTACCATCTCCTAAAGTAATTCATATGGCTGCTTTCCTACCTTCTACAAACCCTACTTCCTATCTTCATCATAGCCTTACTCTAGTCCTGTGCATATAATACACATAAATTAAGTTTAATTCATAATATTCAATTCTAACACAAAAAGAGCTAGAAAATTGTATTTAAACATTTATAATAACTATTCATCTAGCTAACTATGTTTGGCTACCTTACCCTCCAAAATATCAAGCTCAGAAAAAGGATAATCATTGATGATAAAATTGTTTCTTAAAATTTCTAAAAGAAAATACAGATGAACCTGAACAGCAAATTCAAACACCATTATTTGAAAGCATACCCAAAATCACTCAGTAGCTAAAGGAAAAAAAAATCTGTAATATATGCATCACTATTCTGATGTGGGAAAGTGATATAACATTATATTATAAATGAGCTTTTAGGCTAGAAAAGAACATTCAAACTCATGTTGTTATGCTCGAATTCGGGACCCCCAAAAGACCACCAGAGACCAAGATCGAGGTGTTTATTGCAAAGAGGTGTTTATTGCGAGCAACTGGTGACACTGAGAGGCCCAGAGTTTGCAGCAGTTTTATACATTCTTTGGAGAAGGCAGGGACCCCTATATACACCATAGCATCTCTTAATAAATCATCACACACCACGGGAAAATCAAATAACAACTCTAAAACATGATTAGCACATTCACTGGTGGGAACAAGTTGGGTAGGGGTGATTGGTTACTACAAGAGGGGGATTCGTTTGAACTCATTGGTTTAAGCCAAAAGGGGTGTTCGTGCAAAACTACATGGTTTCCCAATATGTTATCAACCACCATAAACTACTGGGAGGGTCATCTGGCATCCCAGGTATTTCCCTGTCTCATGCTGATTGGTGACAATGAAAAACCAGCCTCTATCTCAGAGCAAAGCCTGTCCAAGGAAGGGACAAGGCCTTTGTCCTTGGAAAAACTCACAGAGCACTCCTAAGCACATTCCCACCCTGCTAAGTTGTTTATCTACAAATAACAGGAGAGATCTGCTGCACCAGGTGTCCCTGACTCAGTCAGGCTAGATGGGGACCCATAGCAGCCACCAATCAGCATGAGTCAGGGAAATACCTGGGATGCCAGATGACCCTCCCAGTAGTTTATGGTGGTTGATAACATATTGGGAAACCATGTAGTTCAGCACGTACACCCCTTTTGGCTCAAACCAATCAGTTCAAACGAATACCCCTTTTGTACTGACCAATCACCCCTACCCAACTTGTTCCCACCAGTGAATGTGCTAATCATGTTTTAGAGTTGTTATTTGATTTTCCCGAGGTGTGTGATGATTTGCTATGATGTATATGAAGTCCCTGCCCTCTCCAAAGAATGTATAAAACTGCTGCAAACCCTGGGCTCAGGGCTTCTCAGCGTCACCGGTTGCTGTGTGTGGGTGCAGAGGACCAAGCTAGCTCGCAATAAACACCTCTTTGCTGCTTACATCGATCTTGGGTCTCTGGTAGTCTTCGGGGGTCCCGAATTCGAGCATAACAACTGCTAGGGGGTTGCTATGGATCCCCACCTAGCCTGAGTCAGGGACACCTGGCAAGCAGATCTCTCCTGTTATTTGTAGATAAACAACTTAGCAGGGTGGGAATGTGCCTAGGAGTGCTCTGTGGGTCTTTCCAAGGACAAAGGTGATGTCCCTTCCTCAGACAGGCTTTGCTCTGAGGTAGAGGCTGGTTTTTCAATGCCTTTCTCTGTCACCAGAGATAATTTGAGAATTAAATCTTTATAGTTAACTTCAAACAGGGTTTTACAAACATATCTTAAGCTTTTGATATTTGAAGCACAAAGTCTCTTTTTCTAATTATCTTTAAACAATCATCTTGTATAAAATAACCTAGATGCCCTTCAATAGACGAATGGATAAAAAAAAATGTGGCATTTATACACAATGGAGTATTACTCTGCATTAAAAAATGACAAAATCATAGAATTTACAGGGAAATGGATGGCATTAGAGCAGATTATGCTAAGTGAAGCTAGCCAATCCCTAAAAAACAAATGCCAAATGTCTTCTTTGATATAAGGAGAGTAACTAAGAACAGAGTAGGGACAAAGAGCATGAGAAGAAGATTAACATTAAACAGGGATGAGAGGTGGGAGGGAAAGGGAGAGAGAAGGGAAATTGCATGGAAATGGAAGGAGACCCTCAGGGTTATACAAAATTACATACAAGAGGAAGTGAGGGGACAGGGAAAAATAATACAAGGGGGAGAAATGAATGACAGTAGAGGGGGTAGAGAGAGAAGAGGGGAGGGGAGGGGAGGGGAGGGGGGATAGTAGAGGATAGGAAAGGCAGCAGAATACAACAGACACTAGTATGGCAACATGTAAATCAATGGATGTGTAACTGATATGATTCTGCAACCTGTATACGGGGTAAAAATGGGAGTTCATAACCCACTTGAATCAAAGTGTGAAATATGATATATCAAGAACTATGTAATGTTTTGAACAACCAACAATTAAAAAAAAAAAAAGAACAAGTAGGATCTGGAGTTGTGGCTCAGTAGTAGAGCACTTGCCTAGCATGTGTGAGGCACTGGGTTCGATTCTCAGCACTGCAAATAAATAACTGAATAAAATTTAAAAAAAAAAAATAGTCTCTAAAAAAAAAAGTAAAAAGAAAAGAAAAAAAAACCACTACTGAAAAAAAAAGTAAGGATTATCTCCTTTCCTGTCCACAAGGTAATGATTGGTAGTTCTGATAAGCTATGGATCCCAGAAGTCTAAATTTTAAGTAATTATACCTGACTGGAAGTACACAGGGAAGAAATGTAAATAGTTTAGTAAGTATTAAAACATGGAGTATTACATTCAACTTCAGCTTAAATTAACTCAATACAATAAATGTTTTCTTCAATTAAATGTTAGAAGTATGATCTAGTAGGAAAAAACAAGAGCATTAACATCAGAAGTGGGTTCAAATAAAATACGTTTATTATTAAATACTTTAGTTTACTGGTAACATTTGCCAAGTTGACTTCTGTGAGCCTTGGTCTTTTCATAAAATAAAAGGATAAGTATAATAGGGCCTCTAACAGCAATATTTATATACTAGATAAATAATGTAAATCAAGCATCTGATACAGTAACTTAGAAATCAGTGTACAATCACTATTAGTTTTCTTCCCATCCACCTTCTCCTGAGTGTCAGAACCTCTTCTTCAGTTCATGCCCTTCACTTAGTAATGTGCTATTTAACATTTAAACCCAGTGTGCAGCACCAGCTGACTTCTCTTATCTGAATGAATCCCACCATAGATGGTCCCAAGCTACAAACATGGAGTTACTAAACACAGCATTGCAAAGATAAGTACAACATTACTCTCTATCTCACTTCTATTTTACTTTCTTCACAGAACTTTTACCTTTTAAAAGATTCTTATTTAAGTGGTTAGGTATTTATTATCTATCTCCCTTGACAGGAATGTAAGCACCATGAAGACAGAGCATGATTCATGCCCTACTATATCCTCTGCAAATACAAAGCCCAAGTAATGGGAAAGTTTCCCAAAATTAAGGAACTAAAAGTGTTTCTTAAAAGGAGAAAAAAAAAAAAAAAAGGACTAATTCAAACAAAACAACCTCAAATTCAGCTGCACCACTCCTTTTGTTCGGAAAGGAAGAAAAAAAATGTGATTAGCAACTACCAAATGCTTAAATTAAAACAGCAGACTAAACCGGGTGTGGTGGCATATGCCTGTAATCCCAGGAACTCAGCTGAGGCAGGAGGAACACAAGTTCAAACTCAGTCTCAGCAATTTAGCAAGGCACTAAGCAACTTTGTTATTAATATTTTTTTAGAGACTCTGTCTCTAAAAACATATATATTAGAAAAAATTTTTAAAGGACTGATATGTGGGTAGGTGGTTAAGTGCCCCTGAGTTCAATCCCTGGTACCAAACCAAAGGGGAAAAAAAAAAAAAAGACAATTTCTGCCATATCACCTAGCATAGTCCATAAAAGTAAGCAAGGCACAAGCACAGCCACATAAAGGACAATATTTACAGATGTCTAGATGGAACATTATGCTCACATAATCCAAGATAGGTATTCTTATCAACCTTGATAAGCAGTTATTTTAGAATTATAGAAAGGGAAACAAATACCACCCTGTATTGCCATCATTTTGTTTTATTAATCCAGCATGTAGAAGCAGTATTCCGTAACTTGAATATACTTTACCTGCATGAATTAACATCCGCAAACATTCTACAGAGTTGTGATACGCTGCTTCATGAATTGGCATCCAGCCCCTGTTATCAGCAACATCAATGCTATGACCCTTTTTGAGCAGTTTCCTTAAGATTTTAACATTGCCTTCCCTGGCAGCAAGTCCAACTGTAGAGCACGTGTCCGAGTAAGCTTCTGTAAAATCCATTCTTTTGACCAATCTACAAAACAAGGTAGAAATACTACGGTCAATAAAACAACACTGCACTCTTAGAGATTAGCAGGTCACAGGAGACCTGTCTAGCACCTTTCACATGGCCACAGAGAAATCTACTGTCATGCTAGAGCCTAAATCAGGAGTCTCTCAAATCAGTACTCCTTGAACTGTTAGTATTTAAAATACCAAGGAACTTTTAAGTGTTCTTTTCTTCTTCCTCCAGAAGTATCTGTAGCTTTTTCCAGCAGGCTTCTGCTCCTATTCATATCCCACCAAAATGTACTCTTTGGAGCACTGCTGTTGAGAGAGCTAAATAACTCTACTTATCAAAATGTAAGCTCTATTAGGCAAATAGGACTACTTAATTACCAGCTATGCCCAGCTTCTATACATACTCCTCTATAGGAAACAGCTAAATCTAAAACAGCTTAAAAAATAAAAAGTGAAGGGCATTTATTGAGAAAAACAAAGAAAAGCAGTCCTTTTAGTTTTCCTGCCCTTCTGGTCCTACTCAGGTTTCTCAGTCTCTATGAAATAGTTCCACTAACTAAATACACTGAAAAAACAAAGAACAGCCACAAAAAGCTGAGCTTTCTTTCATAAACTAGCACAGAAAGTTCTTTAAAGCATTATTGCCCTCATCATCATCTCCCTTCAAAGGTCACTTCAAGTTCCCCTGCATTCAGAGTTGAGCACAGCTCAGTTTATGACTTTCTCACAACAATAATTTTTTAGTGATACTAGGAAGCAGGTTGGGCTTAAATTCAGGATTCTCAGAGAAACAGTTATTTCCTAAAGGGTAGTCCTTCTCAAAAAATCCCATAACATTTTTTCTTTTTTTTTATGTGGGAAAAAAAAAAAAAAAGCTTTAAAGGTACTGAACTATGGCTTTGCACAGGCTAAGCTAAGCAAGCACTCTACCACTGAGTTACACCCCCAACCCTTTTTATTTTATTTTGAGACAGGGTCTAAGTTGCCAGGCTAGCTTCGAGCCTGTGATCCTCCTATCTTAGCCTCCCATGTTGAGGGATTATAGGCCTATGCCACCATATCACTTTATAGTCTCTAATAATCTTAGGAGGTGGTCAAGAAATGCCAACATGTCTAGCCCAACACAGGTGAAAATTTTCAAGAACCATGTTCTACGTAATTTATACAGGAAAAAAAAAGATTTTAGGAACGAGGTTAAAAGAAAGTGCATAACATTTCCTATAGCAAATTTAACTAACCCATGGTCACCTTAAATACAAAGCTGTAACTGCAGAAGTTGATTCTGTAGCAGGCTAAACAGCTAATATTAGCAATGGATTATTCTAATTGTATTAACTGATCCATTACTGGAATAAGTGAAGACATTTATTACTGAACATCTAATTATACAACTACCAGTTATATATCAAGCACCAACTAGATGATCAGCCCTGAGAAGTATATAAAGATGACAGTGACATAATTTCTATCTCAAGTTGTTTACAACCTAGGAGAAATGATAAATATATATGATTCAAGATAGAATGTGGAGCAGGGCACGGTGGCATACACCTGTAATTCCAGCAGCTCGGGAGGCTAAGGCAGGAGGATCTTAAGTTCAAAGCCAGTCTCAGCAATTTAGCAAGACCCTAAACAACTTAGTGAGACCCTGTCTCAAAATAAATAAATAAATAAATAAAAAGGACTTGGGATGTGGTTCAGTGGTTAAGCTCCCATAGGATCAATCCTTGGTACCAAAATAAGTGGAAAGGACAGCCAGGCATGGTGGTAAATGTGTACCTTTAATCCCAATGACTCAGGAACTGAGGTAGAAGGATCAAAAGTTTGAGGTCAACTTCAGCAACTTAGTGAGGCCATAAGTAATTGTCTTAAAATTTTAAATAAATTTTTAAAAAGAATTGTTTTTAAAAAAGAAAGAAGAGAAATGGAAAGTACCATAAGAGAAATACAGATAAAGAGCCACAGAAATCAAAAAAGAATCTGCTTCAGCTCAGTAGCAACAGGAGTTGTGACTTAAAGGATATGAAGGATTTGAAAATGAAGACAATGGACAAAAGAATACTCCTAGGCAGAAGGAAAGGTAAAACCAAAAAATGTGGACATGAATAAGCAAGGGTAAGTAACGGACAGTGAATAAGGAAATGATTCATTCACTGTGGAAGGATTAAGTTAAAAAAGAACAATAGGAAAATGAGATTACTAAAGTAGCTTAAATCCCATTAAGCCTCAAGTTCTCAATTCTATGAATGTTTCAACAAAATTAACACAGGTGCATAAAAATAAGTGGGAAATCATAATCTAGATATATATATGAATAAATAAAATAATAATTTTCATTGTTATCATAATTATATTGTTATATCATTCTATATATAATTATATTATATATTATATATTATATTATGTAATTATATATATCTTAAGTGGTTTATTGTTTTGTTTTCTCTTTGGTACCAGGGATTGAACCCAGGGGTGCTTAACCACTGAGTCACATCCCAGCCCTTTTTTTAATTTTCTATATTGTTTTTTTTAATATTTATTTTTAGTTTTAGGTGGATACAATATCTTTATTTTATGTGGTGTTGAGGATTGAACCCACACCTCACACGTGCTAGGTGAGCACTCGACCACGTGAGCCACAACCAAGCCCTACCTTAAGTTTTTATAGGTGTTCCACATCTGGAACCATGGGACAAAATGGGTTATTAAAGCTAACTGTGGAGGATCTTGAGACAAGGTATATTTTTAAACTATGATAATAACATCTAGCCAAGACAATTACAATAAATTTTTACAAAAAAAAAAAAGAACAAATTACACACTTTATGGCGATTTATAAGAATGTTCATTTAATACAAGAAAACTTTTTTATGTAGAAAACACGCATACATAAAGACACACACAAACAACAATTTAAAAAACACTAAAAACAGATTTGGAGCCAAGTGTGGTGGCACACATCTGTAATCTCAGTGGATCAGCTTGGGAGGCTGAGAGGAGGATTTCAAGTTGAAGGCCAACCTGGAAAATTTAGGAGACCATATTTCAAAATAAAAAGGGCCAGATATTCTCAGTAGTTCAATCCCCAGTATCACAAAAAACAAACAAACAAAAAATTCCAACATTTCAGTAAAAATAAGTATGGTGCCCTTTCCAAATTTTACTGGCTTTTCTTTCAGTTACAAAATAATTTTGTAAAATATATTTTTCAGGTAAAAAAAAAAATAGATGATAATCTTTTAAAAATATATAAAAATGAGATAATTCTTTCAGGTTTGTTTTTTGTTTGTTTGATTGTACCAGAGATTGAACCTAGGGATGCTTAACCACTAAGCCACATCCCCAGCCATTTTTTTATTTTTTATTTTGAGACAGGGTTTCACTAAGTTGCTTAGGGCCTCACTAAATTGCTGAGGCTGGCTTTGAACTTGTGATCCTCCTGCCTCAGCCTGCAGGAATTACAGATGTGAGCCCATGCGCATGGCATTCTTTCAGCTACTAAAAGAAAGAAGAGGCCAAAAGACATGTGCTATAACAGCGGGATCATTCCTTTTGACTCCTATACTAACTAGCTAAATGTCAGTAAACTATTTACAAGATATTTCCTCCTTTTTCAAAACCTCCTTATTCAGGGTAACAGTACAGAGTCAAGCAAATGCAATATATAAACCTCAACTGAGGTTGGGAGTGTAGCTAGGTGGTGAAAGGTCCTGGGTCAGATACTCAGCACTGTTCAAAAAATAAAAATAAAAACCTCAACTGGATTCAGAATTTCTGGAGGGAAAAAAAAAAAGAACCCCTTCCCCCAAAAATATTTTTGAGATAATTAAGGAAAGTTAGATATTATACTGGTATTTGATGCCATTAATTATAAATTTTCTTAGGTGTGATAATGGCATTGTGGGAATCAGGAAAATGAGTCTTTACTTTTAAAAGATGCATTTAGAAGTAGTTAGCAATAAAATGTAAGAACTTACTTCAAATGTTTTAAATTTTTAAAAAGTATATAAGCAGGGTGTGGTGGTGCACACCTATAATCCCAGGAACTTGGGAGGCTGAGGTAGAAGGATCATGAATTCAATGTCAGACTGTTTAACTTAAGAGAAAGCCTGTCTCAAAATAAAAAAATAAAAGAATTGAGGACACAGCTCAGAGGTAGAATGCCCCAAGTACAAGCCCCAGTACCACAAATAAATAAATAAGAATAAACAAAAAAAAAATTAATTATTGAAACTACATGGAGAGTATTTGGATAGTCACTGCCCTTGTTTCTCTTTCTCTCTCTCTCTCTCTCTCTCTCTATTTGTATTTTTTCAAAAAAAAAAAAAAAAAAAAAGAGGAGAGTATGGGGAAAAGAACAATTCCAGGCAATATGAAACTACGACTGGAGAAATACGAAGAAAACTTCTTACTCTTTTTCTTTAGTAGCTTCTGCTGACTTCTTAAGAACACAAATAATAGTTTCTGAACCTGGGTGTTTCAGCATTCTTCTCTAATTAAACACTAAAAACTAAAGACCATTAAATAGTTAGAAATCCTCAAGAAGAAAGCAATCATTTGGTAAGGCTTCTATGATAGTTCAAAGTGTTCTTCCTAAAAAAAATATTTTGGAAGCACAACTCTAACAACCAGATTTTAACATGTTTTAGTATCCTTAACCCCTTCAAGAAACTCATGAAAGCTATAAAATTTCTCCCCAGAAAAGTGCATAAACACCCCACATTTTGCTACAGGAAAGACTAAAAAGATAAAGGTTATCTTTCGTGTAAAATTTAAATATGTAAACAACTTGCATGGAAAAAAAAAATCATTGCTTTTTCACAGGTGTAAAGCGTCTGTAAATTTTCTGCTTTCATTTAAAAGGCAAAAGGGCAGACTTTTTTTTAAAGATTCATAAAGTCAAATATGGATTACATTTCTGGCTTTAGCGACTCCGGCTGCTGTTATATGGGCAGAAATCAATTTTCAAAGCACGAAAGCATGCCTTTCTATGTGTTGACTCTGGGCAGGTAC